GATTGCTCAATTTTCAACGTTCTCCTCAGACTCTAGAAGCACTTCGAGAGGAGTTGGTGGTTGCCTGGAACGAGATACCACAGGAGGACATTGACCACCTGATCAGAAGCATGCCTAGGCGCGTTGGAGAATGCGTAGCACATCAGGGCGCATCCACACATTATTAAAGGTCAAAGGGCTTTAAAGCAGTGCAATCATTTTGAAATTTTTATCATTTACTTATTATGCTTCATTAAGTACTTATACAAAATGTTATTAAAATAAAACCATTTAAACTGGGTGTTCGGATTTATATGTCACTTAGTATAGTTCATTCCACGATTGCTCGCTATTATCGCTGTGAGCGGCCATCTATAGAGGAATGACTCAACGACATGACACGCTCATGCATGCATTGTTGGTTGCAGAATGCCGATTGTATATTTTTTGAGAAGCCGAGTATGTAGTGTTTATCTCTGAGAAGACGTGGAAAAGAGATGTGAGAATACGCTGCCAATGAAGTATATCTATTAGCTATACCCGACGGGTTATTCATATGTTGTCCTTTCTGAAGACAGGTTATGCTCAAAGCTATAAATTACGATTTTTCCCGTTTTTTGTGTTTTCAAAAATTTTGAGGAACATTACGGAAAATCAGCACTGCGCCCGTGTTGTGTGCAATTAAGCCAAATCACGGAAAAATTAGGAATGACACATCACACATCAAACATTTTCGCAGTGCCTCACAACTAGGCGCTGATTTGTATTTGCTATTGACGTCGCAAAATAAATTTCTATAAAATGACTTGAAATAAAAGATAATGTAATAACCTTTTCATTTTTATAAATATTCCTAACTGCAGCATATTTTTTCACCTGTTACTTCACCAACCACGGATTTTCATTTCTTATTCCTCTCATTGTTGAAATTTAGAAAATTTGCATATGTAGTTTCCAGCATAAATAAAAAAATGTGGGTGCGCAACTAATTTCTAGCTTTGAATACATCTCAAGTTTATTTGAACCAATGGAATTATCATCAATACAGATTATTACTGCTGTAGTATACAACACACAATATATGTGTACAACTTCCAGCTCACACCTCCAATAATGCCATCTCTGAAGCGGAGGTTACATCTCATCAGAGCCAAACATTGATAGCTGAAGCATCATGACGTTTAGGCAACACGTACAGCTACAACACGACTTCACAACAAGTGTATAACAGTTAGTGCTAGGTTAACATATTGTATAAAAATCTGTTATGCCACAAAAAACCTACAAATACCCGTGCCGTAAATACGGTTGGTTGCCGAGTGCTCTTGACTTTTTTATTTGGCTATTTTACGTAAATTCACCTATATTTGCCAGGTACCCAGAGCAGTTGTATTTTCCTCTGCATATGAGTGGGATACTATCTCTCCAGCGGCCATTGATAAATAATCAGAAAACACTCTTAACAAAAATTCGAAAGTGGCTGCGAAGAGCACCGTGACATTTAATAATATATACAGTGCTTTTTTTAAAGTCCCCCTCCCCTTTGATTTTTTGAACGAATCAATTCAAAAAATTAAAACTTGATGTAATGAAATTGATGCGTGGATATCATATTTTAGAGTATTGGAAAAAAAAAATATATGAAAACGGGGGTCTTGTTTCACATCATTTTGAAGCTTCTGACGCGTACTTTATAACCCTAGAATATAAAGTCAATACCTTTACCTACTACAAAATGGTGGTACATTCAATAATTACCTGAATACATTGACATTTAACTTTCGAATAAATACGTTGAGTTCAGTTTAGAAGATGCTGGAAATGGTTACCTTGAACTTTTTGACACAATAACAGCCGATCCATAATTTCGTGTCAAACATTTTCATACATAGTAACATCGATATTTCTACAAATATTTGTTATTCTCAGTCGTATATCAAATATTGAAGCAGGTTCAGTCTCGTACACCTTTTACTTCAAATGGCCCCATAAAAAAAGTCTAAAGGTGTCAAATCTGGCGAGCGAGCTGGCCATTCCACATGACCTCGACGGCCAATCCAACGACCGGGGAAATTGTTATCTAAATAATTCCTAACTTGTTTGTTGTAGTGTGGTGGAGCACCATCGTGCTGGAATTCAATATCAGTATCGAATTCATTAGGATTCGCTTCGACGATCTCGGTGATTAGATGGTCAATAGTATCTCATATCCTAATACGGTTCCCCGGTTGAAGTTTGTTCGATGAATAGAGGCACTACCATATGATTTCCCAATATCGCAGACCAAACGTTAATTTTTTGTGGATATTGAGTATGAGTTTCCCGGAAGACGTGAGCATTGGTGTCACTCCAATAACGACAATTTCGATTATGCACATTACTGTTGAGAAAAAATGTACATTCATCGCTAAAACAAATATTTTGGATATAGGTAGGATGCCGTGCAATAGTTTCCGCCCTAGTCTCGCAGAATTTTGTTCTTCGATAAGGGTTATCTTCAGTTAGCTGATGTACCATTTGCATTTTATATGGCTGATACTTATTCTTTTTCGAAAGTCTCCATACAGTAGACGAACAAACCTCACAAACATTCGCGATGGAGGAAGTAGACTGTTGGGGATTTATTTTTTTTTTTTTTGACGGCGTCAACTTCTCTGGTTATTAGCCGTATTCAATAATATATAAATATAATATATAAATCTAAAGTATAAAATATATAATCTCTTACATGTCTAAGTGGTAAGTGTCGCATTTTTAAAAAACTAACTACGCAAATTCCAGATATTAATCGAAAAGGATATACTATTGTCATTTACTTTCAGATTCTATTAGCGACAAAAGATAATCTCTGGAAAATGTTACACGACTAAATTTGTCAGGCATATATTCATTAATATTAATTTTTTTTTTTTTTTTTTGTGGTCATTATCTGCATTTCACGATCTTGTTTGCGTTCACGTAAGTATTTCGATTTATCCAAATTCTATTGTTGCATGTTTCTTTTAGTTCAAGATGACAATACTAAGCTAAGGTAGGTATGATGCAAAATCATCGTTACATAACATTCATTTAATCTCAGTTGAGAATAAGATACACAAAAATTAAAATGGTTCATTTCCAAAAAGTTCATTAGGTCAGATCTTCCAATAGAAACCAGATACTTTTAAGAATGATATGACGTTTTTCAGTTTTTCTGGTTGTGTGAGACTCTCTGTCAGGTTATCAAATGGTCCATAGATCACTCGATATTGCGACAATATCGGACATGTGCAGATAATGTGGCGTACAGTGAGTGAAGAGTTACATCCAGTGCACAAGGGCGGATCTGTTCCGAGCAAAAGATGTGCATGTGTAAGACGTGTGTGGCCAAAGCGTAAGCGATGTATGCGCACCCATTCCTCTCGTGGCAGTCTGATAGGATGTGGCCATAATCCTACACTAGGTTTTATCTGTCTTAAGTGGGTATCAGTGTTACCCCATGTAATTTGCCAGTGTCGCTGTATACGGTTTATGAGGTAGTTTTTATGATCAGACATTTTTATTTCAGGGATGTCGATGTTTTGTTGCGCTGCTGCTGCTTTCGCTGCCATATCAGCAGCTTCATTCCCCTGTATACCAACGTGTCCTGGCAACCACAGAAATTTTACGTTTACCCCTTTATTTAAGAGATGTTTGACAGTTTCAAGACACATCACAGTTAAGGAATCTCGAGATGCATAGTTCATTAGGCCTTGAAGTGCTGAGAGCGAGTCACTAGCTATAATAGCTGTTGTTATGTTATTCGACATGTCACAGTATCGTAGGGCCTGCCAAATAGTATATTGTTCAGCAGTAAATATGGATGCTATTGGTGATAGTGTCCATTGATGTGCAGTTTGATCGACTACTATAGCACAGCCGACACCACTGTCAGTTCGCGATCCATCTGTATAGATAACTGTTGCTGCCGGATATCTAGAAACGATTTCCATAAAACGTGATTTTATGAGTTCAGATGGATGGTCATTCTTAGATAGTGCAGTCAGCTCGAGATTCACATTTATTTTGGGTGACAGCCATGGAGGAGATTCTCTGTTTTAACATTATAGATAGGGTTACATGATATACCAATTTCCTCGGCATATTCTTTAACTCGGACTCTGAGAGGTCTTGTTATTGTGGGGCGACAGATATAGCTCTCATCCGTACTGAAAATGATAGAAAAGTTTCTATGGTATGGTCGTGTTTGAATCTGTGCAGAATACGATAGTGCAAGTTTTTTGCGTGTAATGGATAGAGGTTCAACTCCGGATTCGCAATAGAGGCTAGCTGCTGGAGTTGTACGAAATGCTCCAAGGCAGAGACGTAATCCTTGGTTGTGAACTGTATCAAGTTTTTTAAGCAGTGACGGTCTTGCAGATGAGTAAACAATGCTACCGTAGTCAAGCTTAGATAGGATGATGCTCTTGTATATCCGCAACAGCATCTCAGCTTCTGCTCCAAATCGTGTTGACGACAGGCATTTTATTAGGTTTAGGGCTCTCTTGCACCTGTTGGTAAGATCCTCAGTGTGTTCTCTCCATGTCAGTTTACTGTCGAGTGTTAGGCCTAGGAATTTTACAGAAGACACACAGGGTATGCGTTCATTGTTGAGACAGAGGCGTGGATCATAGTGTGGTCGTCTAAGTCTACAGAAATGGATACATCGTGTTGTTATCCGTGATAGGGTCAATCCTTTGTTCTTAGCATTCTGAAAGATGGTATCAATAGCAGGTTGTAGAAGTCGAGTAGTTTCACCAACAGTTTTTCCTGAAGTTAAAATGCATAAGTCATCAACATATAAGCATTGGTTTATAGCAGGATTGACATTCTCAGTGATGGAGTTTATTGCTATCGCAAAAAGAATGCAGCTGAGGGTTGATCCCTGTGGGATACCATTTTCCATGATGCGTGTTGTGGAAAAGGTATTTCCTATTCGTACTTGGAGGAGACGATCTGTCAAAAATGATGATATAAGTATTGGTAGATTTCCTCTAATTCCCCAGCGATGTAACTGTTTGAGGATATCATATCTCCACGTCATATCATAGGCTTTTTCTACATCAAACATTACAGCGACAGTATGCTGTCTGTTTTTGAAGCCATTTTGTATCAAGTCCTCAATGTAGACTAGTTGGTCCAATGTGGATCTAAACCTCCTGAATCCTGCTTGGTGTAATACAAGCAGTTCATCATTTTCCAAAATCCACATTAAACGTTCACAAATCATTCTTTCCAGTATCTTACCCAAACAGCAGGTTAAGCTTATAGGTCTGTAACTGGAAGCCACCAGGGGATCTTTACCATCTTTCAAAATTGGTACAATTGTGGCAAGTTTCCAACATGTAGGATATACACCATTTACCCATATCTCATTGTAGATGTTCAGCAGGATTACTTTCAATTTCTGTGGTAGATGTACGATCATTTCATAATTAATCTTATCTGGACCTGGAGCTGATCTGGAGACATATTGAAGTACTGCCTCTAATTCATGCATTTCAAAGGAAACATTATAATTGAGACAACTATTTGTGGAAAAATCTATATGGATCTCTCGTTGCATTTTCTGGGCTCTAAAGGTCTGATTATAGTTGGAGGAGCTGCTGATGTTAGCAAAATGGTCAGCAAGGTGATTGGCGATGCTATTTTCATCATTTATGGTTGTTCCGTCTATTTTGCGGAGGTGGTTTATTTGTCTTAGTGATCCATTACCCTTGATCGAGCGAACTTTATTCCATACCTCACTTGATGGGGACTCAGATGTTATGCTGGATACATAATCTTTCCACGACTGCCTTTGATTTTCCAACATTAGGCGTCGAGACCTAGCTCTGGCCCGCTTAAAGGAAATCAAATTTGCCGTGGAAGGATGCCTTCTGAATGTATTTAGCATATTTTTCTTTATTTTGATAGATTCAGCAATTTCACTATTCCACCAGGGTAGTGTACGTCAACCTGGGATACCTCTACTGAGTGGGATACTAGTAAGAGCCGCTTCATTTATAACGTTTGTTATAAACTCTACCGATACACTGCTGTCCTGAGAAAGTTCCAAGGAGGAAAATTGCTGTTCATATGTATGCCAATCTGCTTTTGGCATGATCCAGTATTGAGGAATTTGTGTATTGGCTTTGTGTGTATCGAGGGTCACCTTGCATGGAAAATGGTCACTGTTATGAAGATCATCTAAGACAGACCAGATGACACGGCCAGCAATTGTGGATGAACATATAGCCAAATCAATTGCTGAGAAGCTTTGACAACGCGCAGAAAAGTGTGTGGGTGAACCATCATTTAGCAATGTAAGGTCATCTCTTTCTAATAGTTTGGAAATTGAGCGCCCTTGAGAGTCAGTTCTAGTAGATCCCCATAATGGACTGTGCGCATTGAAGTCTCCTACAAGTAGAAATGGTGTGGGTAGCTGCGAGATAATATACTCAATGTCCTCCAATTGCCATTCCCCATTTGGAAGGTAGATGTTGCAAACAGTTACCTTAAATGGAGTTAAGATCCTGGTTGCAACGACCTGTAATGGAGACATTATTTGGATACTTTCAAAGTTAGCATCTTTCTTAATAATATTTGCAACACCTCCATGAGCTCTGCTTTCAGATGAGATATCCTTCCTAATGATGTTATACCTTTTTAGGTTATTCGGAAAATTAGGACGTAAGTGAGTCTCTTGCACACATACGCAGATGGGGTCATGGTCATGCAGTAATATTTTTAGGTCGCAATATTTTTGTACGATACCATTGCAGTTCCAATAAATTATTGATTCCATTGTATGTGTTATTTTTTTTTGTTTTGTTTAAAGTTAAATTATAATGAATAGTGAATAAATGTTATAAATGCGAAGATAATATAAATATATTGGGGATTTATTATGATCTCATCAATTATTTGAACTTGCTTTTCTTCCGGGATGGTCGGATGACCTGGGGGCTTTTTGTTGTTTACACTACCAGTAGCTGTAAATTTAGATACAAGTTCCCTTAAATATTTCCAACAGATAGGACGATTCGGGAAACGATCATTAAAAATCATTTCAGTCTCATGAAAGTTACGCGTCGCACCTTAAATAAAAATCGCCTCGACTTTTCATTCCAGTGGACAAGAATTGACCGTTAAAAATAGTTCAAACAGTATCTAGCACTAAAACCGAAAACTAAATAAGAATACTTTAACTGTACAATGATGTTTGTTGTCGTACTGTTATTCTTGTCACTGTCAACAAATAATAACAAAACAAGCTTTTACCGCTGTTGCTGTGGAAACGGCAGGGAATTACAATTATTTGTATAGATATGCATGTTAGTGGGTTTGTGTTAAAGTAATTATTAAATGTACCACCATTTTGTAGTAGGTAGAGGTATTGGCTTTATAATCTAGGGATATAAAGTACTCGTCAGGAGCTTCAAAATGATGTGTTTTTCCAAGATGGCGTCCAGCGGACATCTTGACATTTTCATCTGTCGATTTTACTCTAAGATATCTTATCCATGCCTCAAGTTTCAATTTTTTGAATTGACCCGTTCAAAAAATCAAAGCGGAGGGGGACATTAAAGAAAAGTACTGTATATAACAACAACGTGGCTCAAAATAAATGATTAAGAGTCAGAGAAAAACTGGCGTCCATATTTGGAGAACGCGATATTGTTTTTAAATGTGTAATGTCTGACTGTTCTTATTTGATGAGACAACCCATACCAACATTTTTACTAGTTGTGGTTCTTCCTACAGAAATTGGGATCACCTGTTCAGTAAAAAAGTGATGAGATATCTCTTTGTGAAAAAAAAGATATAGATTCTTTAAGAATTGGCAAATAGTGCATCTTAGGGTTGCTATTCAAAATTCTCCGATCTGAAAACGTTAATAAGAGATCATAAAAAAACAGTAATGGTTGCCTTCAAGTAGTATTTCATTTTCTGTTCTTGTTACGTCTTCGTCCTTTGCCTTTATTTGCTTCCAACTGTCCTTCTTTAATGGTACCATCAGTCTTCACCTCTTTATTACCACTCTCTACATTCAGTTCATTTTTTCTTCCTCCTGCATTGGCCTTCCTGCTACCTCTTCTAGTCTTATCCTTACCATCAACCTCCGCAAACATAATATCTCGCTCCATATTTCCTACAGAATTTCTCAACATTTTCAATTCGCTTAGCGCCATTTGGGAAATTCTTCCTTCTGGACTCTTTGGAGGTTCATGCAGCAAGTGCTTGAGTGATTCTTTAAGTTTTGATTCGGCTTCAGCCAGTTTGGTTACAAGTTGGCTTAGACTGATATCTTTGTCTTGGTACTGCTTGTGCGCTAAGTCTATCATTGCTGATTGAAGCTGATACAGTGTCAAAGCTGGAAGATAATTGAGAGTATTCAGCAATAGATGATTTATTGATTTTGGTATAAAAGAAAGAAGTCATATTTATTTGTGACAGAACATTTGCACCGGCTTAAGTATTGCCTTATCATCCTACTATTTCTGGTTCTTCTTTACCTGTTCAACACCGCTTACAGAAGGTTCAAAAATGAAGCAAGATCGCGACAAGTAATGGCATTTGAACGTGATACTCTAATAACAATATTTGCCATATTTTCTTACCTTTAATTCTTGATATTCCTGGTTCTAATTTTGAAAACACATTTATCAAGTTCTCGCACAGTTTTATCCTTTTCGTTAAATTATTCTTAGTAGGCGGTAATCGCATGTAGCTCCCTACCATACTTTCTTGCAATTCCAGCAAGAGATAGTGATCCTTATTAAAGGTTTGTAGTAGCTTATTTTGGAGATCTTCCATATCCTTTACGCAGGTTGGGACTGAAAACGACAAATGTATCTCACTATACATGACATAGCAAAAAACGAACGCGCAATTCTTCCTTAGCTAAGAAAAAATACGGACAAGTGAGAGTCCTACACCTACTGTATTTAACATTCAACGTCGTTTGGAAACATCTGCTCTAACTTTCTTCAAAACCATTTCAAATACCTTGAATAAGGTGGCTAGTAATTCTATCATACTATTCTGTTCCATTGTTTAACGTTCGGAAGCATCAATAACCTATTTGTAGAAACTAAAATTTTAGACGTATGGGGTTGTCCAAAACGGACGCAGGAAAGTAAACGCATATTAAAACAAGAAAGATTGATATTGAAAAATAATATCGCTCAAATGTTCACCACGACTGGATTTACAGACGTGCACGCGATGGTCGAAATTTTCAATGACATTTTGCAACATGGTCGGTTCTATGGCATTTATCTCGGCAATGATGTTGTTTTTGAGTTCTTGGAGTCTGGCTGGTTTGTTGACGTAGACTTTGCTTTTCAAATATCCCCATAAAAAGAAGTCCAAGGGCTTCAAATCGCAGGATCTTGGTGGCCATGGCACATTTCACACAAATCACGCGATCACCGAAGAAGGACTGCAATCGATGGATATTGACGTTGGTTGTGTGGCATGTTGCACCGTCTTGTTGGAAATAAACATCGTCCATATCCATTCCTTCAAGTTGCGGCAAGAAATAGTTCTCTATCATCACGTGATATCGCTCAGAATTGACGGTAACGGCGTCCCCGGCCGCATTTTCGAAAAATTAAGGTCCGATGATGCCTTTTGACCACAATGCACACCACACAGTCACTTTTTGAGGATGCATCGGCTGCTCTTGATACTCACGGGGATTTTCGTTCGCCCAGATGCGGCAGTTTTGCTTGTTTACCGTCCCATTCAAAGTGAAATGCGCATCGTCGCTGAACATGGTTTTTGATGAAAAATCTGAGAACTTTCGGCACGAAAAATGGTAGGCCCGACACAGCTCTTGCGTCAATTGGATCTTGTAGGCGTGTACATTTAAATCCTTGTGGAGAATGCGGAGCATACTGGTTCTCGAAATGCCCAATTCTTGGGATCGACGCGTTGTTGATTGTATCGGATCGTCTCTCACACTCTCCTTCACAACAGCAATATTTTCCGGTGTGCGAACGCTCCTTGGCCGGCCAGAGCCTGGCAGATTTGCCACAGAACCTGTTGCCTCGAATTTACGCACCAGACGACCGATGGTTGTTTCGTTTGGGCGGTTGTTGCGACCGAAATGTTCACGAAGCGCGCGAAACGTGTTTTTTATTTTTGCACCATTTTTGTAGTGCTCTTGAATAACTTTAATGCGGTCTTCAATCGAATACGACTCCATAGCGATCAATGGTAAACATTCAACTAACAAAATGACATGTCGGTGACAGAAAACAAAGATGGCGTCTATGTCAAATTGACGTTTACTTTCCTGCGTTCCTATTGGACAACCCTATTTGTACAGTTGTTACCTGTTTCTTCGACTTTTCTGCGACCCTCATCAACAACTGATCTTATAAGCCACCGTCTATACATCTTTTTGCAAAAGCTGCATTCCCAATCTGAATTTAGATCTTTAGGATCTTTCACCCTTATAAGACCTTTGTAGCATTTGTGGCATTTCAAAGAGCTCATTTCAGTACTTAATTCCGTGTTGTCATTGCATCTGGTGCAGAAACAGTCAAAGTACTTGCCTTCGCGTAGGTGTTGTCGTCTGTCGCTGCTGCCCTTGGAAAAGAGAGAAGAAGGAGTTTAAAAACATTGATACAAAGTTTCAGAAATTATGGCACACACAATGCATTGCGATCATCACCCGTTTCTTGGGTGAGCCAGGTTCGTAGATCAGGAATCTGGTTCGCGCTGTTTGCGGCACACCCTAAAGGCCTGATTTGATGAATATAGTCAGTTTCCTGTAAAATGTCTCTCAAAATAGAGAAAAATCGTACGATTTGTATAATATATATTTTTTTTATATCGAAGCAGGCGCGCAGGCAGAAGCCTGAATGCCGCAACACCGTGGCTGCTATGATGATCCCAAAGAAATTTTGTTAATACGACTTTTGAACGGTCTAAGGTTAGTAAAACTGGGAAAAACTTCCTCTTGTAGATTGTTCCACAATCTCGACATCCTCGGGACTAAGGAGCGGTCGTATCGGCCAGTTCTGGATGTACGAAGTTCGACACGGTTAGGATGGGACTCCAAAGTCAGGCTGGTCCGTCTGGCAAACACTTCGCGCTTCGGCATCATGTAAGAGGTCAGAGGAGCAAAGCCCGTTAGTGTAGCGGTATAAAAGGGCCCCTAGTTCCCATATTAATCAAGAAGAAAGAAAAACCTCTTTCTTTGTTTGACCTCGTCCACAAAATTTGCAAATAGGACACAGTTTCCACCAATCAAAAAGGAGTTGCGATCTACTTACAAATTCAACCAATCAAAAAGAAGTATTTGTGCCCTGCGTCAAACATGAATCAAACCTGATATAATATCTAGATTGATACATCAGTTACTGAGCATTTTATCGAAAAAAAAACAATGTCACTACTTATCCGAGAGAGATTTAAAAAAATGATGCATTTTTAACAATCTATCGACATATCCATTGAGGTAGAACGGCTACGCCACCTGTTACCTTATCTTGCCACCTTCCAATAGGGGGCACTAGCGGTATCATTGTGATAAGCCAGGAAACTAATACTAAACGTGCTGAGCATAAAAGTAGTTACAAAGAAACAGAGTTTTTGTACATGATAGTCAAGTAAATTGAATATCTACCCGATGTTTGTTAAATAATGAGATTCTATAATTTCATTTATGTCTTCGCTATAATAAAAATCAATGATGTAGTTTGACTGAACTGGTACAAACCTATGAAGAGAAAAAATGGTGGACTTGTTGATGGTCGGTTAAAAATATATGCTTCTTCCAAAATTATCTTTCTTATGTGTTACTGCTATTTTCAATGATATGCTCAGGGCGCAAATTTCTTTTTGGTCGAATTGCATCTATACCCCATTCGTAGTCCATTTACGCCCAGACAAACCACAACATGCGCAAAAGCGAGATTGTACAGGTCCGTATTTTCCTCAATGGTCTTGGAATAATCTAACAAAATAAATTATTATCTTTATACAAAGAAGTGCACATACTTTTCACAATTCTTTATTCGCTGGAAGTACTTGAATCATCGTCAGAATGGTTAATATTAATTATTACAGGCTCAATTTGAATAAATATCGCACGTATTGTCCAGATCCCACATTTTCGATTATCTCTTGAGCGTGACGGATGTAATCTTTCCAATGGTTTGCCGCCACTCTGTTGACAGCTTCATAAAACAAATTTATCACGTCAGAAAATTTGAATGTTCTATTTTTTGAAGCCACACAGTTTTTCATATTTGCTCAAATTAGTTCAATGGGATTTAATTCGCAGTAATAAAATGGTTGCCTTAAAACGGTCTTATTTTTTGTTTTTAGCCATTTCGTCAATAACATTAGGATTATAATCAGATTTGTGCTGCCTGACTAGATGGATAAGTTCTGCTTTGACCATATTTTGATTGAAACTAATGTCTTTTGATAGGAGCCATTGTTGAATTTCTGCCTTTCTTGTGGACATTGTGGGATTTTTTCTAGTAGCATTATCAAGTACAATGACGGCATTGTGGTCAAGCTTTGGGAGCGGTTCGTCAAACCATAGTTCAAATGAACTCCCGTCCATTTTTTCATGGTAGTCGGTCGTTTTCTTTGCCTCAAATGTCCATAGGGCAGTGGGCACAAAGCCATCTTCACTGCCAATGTGGCAGATAACAAATGGTTTTCCTTTTCCTGGAAATTATTATTTCATATAATATTCAAGAAAACTAATAATAATACAAGCAGAGTATCTAACAGGTGTTGGTTCCAAATCTACCAGATATAGCTAAATTTAGTGAAGATAAGTTTTCAGCGTGGGCTCATAGATTTAGTTTATTTGACACCATTTTTACAATACAAAACAACGAATTGGTTAGAGACACGTACCTGACGGATTCTTTAGGCCAGTGGTTAGTCCATCTAAAGAGACTTGTCTGGCTGATTTAATTGTAGTGTCAGCCCATACTTTATATTTTGTATGTCCTGCATTTATCTAGGTTTCATCCAAATAATAAATCTTCCTGCCCTGGTCACGGTATGTATTTATTGATTTTAAATAATTTCTTCTCATAAGTTCTTTGAGTAAACTATAGAACGTGGTCCTATAGAATGTGGGTAAGTCTTCATCACTATTAACCTCCTTTAATACTTTGTTTGGACATGAATGCAAAAATAGGAAATGAAGAAATTTATAAAGAGATCACCGGTGGTCAGGGCAAACACGAAAATAGTAGTGATGATGGAAGAAGAGTTATAGAGTTTGCACAGGAAAACCAAATGAAAATAATGAGTACCCATTTTAAAAGAAAGAACATACACAAAGGAACTTGGCTCTCACCTGATGGTAATTACTTAAATCAAATTGATCACGTTTTGGTAACAAAGCAACATTGTAGAATGATTCAGAATGTGAAAACGTGTAGGGGAGCAGATGTCGACTCAGACCACTTTTTAGTAGTGGTGATATTAACATCTCTCAAAGAAAGAATAAAAGTTGGAGAAGTATTTAAAGACCCTTTGATCCACAGCAATTTAAGAATCAAGAGATTAAGGAGAAATATATTAGCGCAATCGAAGGAGGACAACAGATACTATGTCAAAGGGAAGGGCAAATGACGATTGATCAGGAATTGAGAATGCTACAGTCTATAGTACAAGAAGTTATAGAAAAAGAAGTACCTAAAAAACAAGCGAAACATAATAAGAAAACGTGGTGGGATCAAGAATGTGATATTGAACTGGAAAAAAGGAACAAAATACGGCAGAAGGCGCTATTTACACAAAGTGGGGCAAGATATGGAAGCCTATAGAAATAGAATAGAATTTTTATATAGAAGCGAAAAAAGGCAAGCAGGGGTATATAAATAGAAGGGATAAATACAGTTAAGGACACGGACGATAATTTGATACTGCAGAATGAAGAAATGGAGCAAAATGGAGAGAATACTTTTGTGAAATGTACAACAATGATGATGATACAGAAGAAAACGAGGGACCGTATAGAGACGAGCAGGTAGAAGATAATATAGATGAGTCAGTGAGGCAAAAAAATAGAAACAATAATTGAAAACAAGAAGGATCAAAAATCAGCAGGGTATAACGGTGTAATTGCAGAAAACATTAAATTTGGAGGAGGGGCTGCTGAAACAACACATACATGAATTAATTTTAAGAATATGCAGAGAAGAAGAAATGCCCATTGACTAGGAACTAGCACTTATTACCCCATTATTGAAAAAGGGTGAGGCGACCGATTGTAATAACTACAGAGGAATCTCGCTATTCGATGAACTATGTAAAATTTTATCAGAATTGCTTAAAATGTGGCTAGAGAAAATTGTAGCTACACAGTTGGGAGATTATCAAGCTGGTTTTCGCAAGGGAAGATCGACAACTGATTAAATTTTCTTCACGAAAGAAGCTCCTACCACCTGCTACGAATATAAAATACAAGCAATCATACTATTTATTGACTTCCAAAAAGGATAAGACAAGATCAGAAGGAGTGCAGTATTTCATACAATGAATTATTTTGGTATACCTGGAAAACTCATAAACCTCACAAGAATGACGATGAGACAAACAATGAGTATGGTCAAGATAAGAGAAGAATTGAAAGAAGAGTTCGAGATTAATACAGGATTCAGACAGGGGGACCAATTATCTCCACTTTTATTTAATATGATCCTATAAAGAATCGTTATTGAAAGTCAGCTGAATAGATCAAGAAGTATATTATTTAAATGTCAGCAACTAACTGCCTATGCTGATGATGTCGCCATAATAGGTAGGGATAAAAGGACAATGGAAAAAGTAGTCGATCAGTTTATACAAGTTGCAGCAAAAATGAGATTGAACGTAAACGAGGAAAAAAGTAAATTTATGAGAATAAGGACCTGTCAGGCGGAAACGAGGCTAGAAATAATGGTAAGCACAGGAAAAAAGTTTTTTGTGGAAGTGGATGAGTTTGTCTATTCAGGATTAGTAGTAAAATAAATGAGGAAACAGAAATAAACTACACAATCGGTAAGGCCAATAAATGTGCGGGAATGCTTAACAGAAATATTAAGTCAAGAAATGTATCTAGAGTCTCCAAAATAAGGCTATACCATACGATCATCACGCCAACCCTTTTGTATGGAGTAGAAACCTGGGTAATTAATAAAAAACTTGAAGAAACATTACTTAGGTGGGAGAGGAAAAGTTTAAGGGGAATATATGGAGGGATCAAGGTGGAGAGAGGGTATGTTAGAAGGTCTAATGCTGAAATCTATTATCTATATAATGAACCAAACATAATAGAAGTAGCTAGGACCAGAAGACTGCAGTGCTGGGGCATCTGGAAAGAATGCCGCAAGAAATAACAGTGAAGCATATTGCATGGAGAGTTCCGGATACCAAGAAGAAAAGATGAAGACCGTGAGGAAGATGAAAGGATGCGGTTATGGGCGACTTGAGGAGCAGGAATAGAGGAGACTGGAAAAAACGAGCACGAGACAAGAAGTGGTGGAATAAACTTATCAAGCTTAGGGCCTAAAGGCCTGTTTTATAGCTGTATATATAATACTTTGTCTATGGCGGGAGATTCCTGCTTTTCAAAAAATTGATGGAAATTACGTCTGATGGCATTTCGATCAAAGTTATCAACTGTATCCAACAGCTTCGTGTAATGCAGCCTTTTGTGTGGTGGGGACAATTTTTTTTATATTCTTTAATAATGTTGAGAATTATCTTAGGACATAAATATGCTTGTGTTTCGCTCTTATGAACGTTAAGGACAACGTCTGAAGAAGGGATTGGGACATTTATTCTCAGTTTCATCTGCTGTATCCGTGGACGACATGCCAACGATATGCACGCTATGTTTGTACCGAATATGAACGGCAACTGTCGGCGTCGCCGTGCCGGCGATATCCCGAGCCTGAGTTCTATCCTGTCGAATCCTGCGCTTGTTCTTAGTTTCATGGCCAAATGACCAATAATTATTGCATCGCTTTGGCGGCTGCCGGTTTGCCGCGCTGCATCTTTGTTGTGCCGGGGCGCAAATCGACTACGAATAGTGTATAGGTGGATCGACCGCTGTGTTAGTTTTTTTTTATTCTATTTATACCCAAAATCACAGCACTTAAGCCCCATTGGGTTCCTTGAACGTCGTCCCCTAGTCTGAATGGCCAGCCACCACAGACTGCTGGAAACATTGGTGATGCAACTAACCGGAGCTTCCATTATGCTGGCCATAGAAGGCAGAGGCCTAAATACCACGGCACCGCGGCTGCTGTGATGATCGACGATTTCTTCTAATAGGCATGACCGTAATATAGGACTATAGTTATACTTACATGTAAAGCATTTGCATAGTTGAAAAATATCGGTGTATTTTCTTGAATGTCGACACTTGCTTTGACTGTCAAGACAAAATCATCGTCCACTGATAAAAACGTATTTCCGATACAGTCGTGAGCCATGACAGCAGCGTTCAAGTACAGTCCTGGAATTTAGTATATCCCATGTTATATCCATCAAGTATGAACAAAAAGTAAGTTATTTATCATTCAGGGAATAAAGGAGAGTAGAGTAACTAATAGAAGGTATGCGTGGTTTGATATACTGTGTTCTTCAACGCTTCATTGATAGAATCGCTGTTCGGGTCGTTTTCTCAATGCGTTAATTCTATAAGAAAGCCTCTGATGACATCCGCAGTAGAATTTAATCAGTATCAAAAGCCGTCAAAACATCCTCGAAATGCAATAGATCTACGTCCACGTTTCTCTATTCCCTTGTTCTCAGGAATTTGCCTCCTGGGTGGATCTCACTCTACAGTCTAAAAATAATATATTTACATACCCCTCAGACACTGCTTTTCTGGGTTTGTTATAACGACCAAATTACTTTGAGGAGGTCGAACTTCAAAAGTATTCACGTCTAGCACTCCGCAGATGCGTTGTACCAATTCCTGTTGCAAATCATCATCACTCAACGCTTTAAATTTCCTACAAATAGAATTTAAACCTGGTTGCATCGTGTCACATATATTTTATATTGTCTCAACCTCAAAATAAATCGCAGGGTACCCTGAAAATTGAGACTTGCCTTTTCAGAAACAACTGTTTGAAATAAGTTGGTTTAAGGTCGAACAGCACCGAAGATGTAATAAAGGAATTGAGGGAAAATACTCACTATTTATTTGGTACGGCCTTTCAAGTATTGCCCTGTCACATTTTGTCTGTAATTACTGTTGGAAGTTCTAAGTGGTATATTCAAAACACGAGTTTGTTTAATTGTTCCTAAATTTGCAACATTTGGGGTTGTCTAGGACTTCTTCTGTGGCGTTTGTACGATATAAGCAAACCTACGCAGTTTTGATGAAAAAATCAAGAACGACGGTGACATTCTGAATACTCTAGTACACTCGCCAAGTATCAACAGGATCTTGAACATGCTCATAGGAAGCTTATATCAAATAGATAACTACGTTATTGCTACAAGAATGTGTCAATTTATGTTTTCAAATGCGGTTTCTTTATAAACCAGGTTAATCTACACGCCACGCGGCGCCTGATTTAGATACTGAATTAAATAATGGTAGTACCACAATACATGCCTTATTTGGAGTTTTTCAGAACTTCGGTTATACATATATATATATACGCTCTGTAAAGGAAAGTCCCATCTTTGAGGTCACTATGTATAATAGCAGCTCCCTGATGTACCAACTATCTGGCGTCAATTTTGGCGACGCTGCAAAACATATTTCACATGGGACAGGAACTGTCATTTATTCCAATAGCTTAGCTGGCGGTGTCGCCGTGATTTATAAGTAATGGACTGTCCTAAGGCAAGTTAGAATTAGTTCGTGATGTAAACCTGGATAGTCTAGGCAGAGCTAAAAATCATGGTGCTAAACAGAAGGATTAGAACCTACCTCCATTAGCTTGTTTTATGCTCTAGTTTTTCAATTGGTAATAACGTTGCGTTTGCTGGTACAACAATATGTCGATAATATAATATTTTTAATTTGCCGCGGTTACGTCTCCACCTATTGACGTATCTCCTGAATATTTACCGTAAGAAAAGTTCCACCGTAATTTGATGTCTTCTCCAAATGGGCGAGTGCCTGCGTTCCTCTAAATGTGGCTCCAACAGTGAGATTTGCTTCCATATGTCCGGGTTATGGCTTCTCAGTAAAATGCATCGTAACGGGAAAGCGGCCGATGGGTTTTCTGCTAAGTTCTCGCCTTTTACGGGACACGTTTTTAAAACAGCGCATTCTTCTTTTGAGTGCAGCTTTCCTGGAAACAGTATAAGGAACTTATGTTTCTCACCTGTTCAGGTCTTTGTCCAAGCGATCAGCTGAATATTGTTTTTGTTTTTCTTTAGTTGTAATGTTATTTCTCATACAAAACGAGGTTTCGAGGATTTTAAAAGCATCAGCGTTTCGATAAAATTTAAGTATCATATTTTCTAAATTCGGTAATTAAAATACCTATACTTCCCTGTTAATTCAAAGGGGCTTGTCTGCACATTTTCTTAAAAATGAGTTAAAAGCGTATACAGGTTACTTTATAAGATATCTTCGCATAAGTTAGCCCAAAAAGCCGTATACGACTCTGCTATATCTAGGAAACACCTTAAAAAATAAGGCGTATCTGTATTTTCATCAACTTTGTTAAATTAAAAAGGCGTAAGTGATATTTTTACGAAAATAAGTCGTATATGCACAGTATGCTAAAAATAAATGGCGTATCTACAAGGCCCATTTACAGATACAGATACATCATAAACATCTGTTATACGCGCATGCGTATTGCGTATTATCGGTGTATTTTCTAACCTCAAAATTAGTTGTTATTAATTCGCGGTTAGGATTTTGGTTATTTATTTGACGTTTTTGTATTTGTACGTCTTATTGTTTCGTGAAAATCGATAAAATGGAGCGAGGAAAACGTCTTGTTTTACTTGCTTTAAATAAGCTTCAAAGCGGAAAGGTTTTCCAGTTAAAAGACGTTTGTCAGCGGTCCTCTACCGTGAAAAAGAATGCATCAGATCCCGATTATGTTCCTGTTAGTTCGTCTAATTCTAGCGATTCTGAAGAAGAGTCTGATACCGTGTCACGGTTAGGTAAGTCGTTGAGAGTTCACTATCTTGTTGTTTTTTTATATTTACACTATTTTATCTCTGTTTAAAGATGAATTCCGACACATTTCAATCCACAACAAAAATAAATATTGTAAGCAATATTTGTATACGTCCCCGCAACACTGGCACCACTACTCAGACGAACATAACTTCCAATGAAGAAACCCATAATGAAGCTCTTTATTGTGTTAGAAAAATATTAGAAGATATGTTTATAAACGTGCTTGAAAAGGTGGAGCAGTTAACACTGACCAAAGATGGAAGACCAAGAAAACGAAAAAGGTTTATTGAAAGTGTTGAGGAAAGAAAAGTTATCAAGAAAAGAAAAAAGGTAATAGAACACACAATAAAGGAATCTTGCAATCCTGACACTTGTATAAAAAAATGTGGGTACAAGATGAATTCAAGGCAACGGGCAAAGATCAATCACAGCTTCTGGGAAATGCCCAACAAGGAACAAAGAATTTTCATTCTTCATTGTGTATCTACTAAAGCCTTAGCATCACGACGCAGCAATACTATGATTTACTCGCTCAAAGATCACCAAGGTTCTAGAACCGAAGTGTGCAAGGCATTTTTCCTTACAACACTCGGTTTCAAAAAATCCAATGATAAACTAATTAGATGTAAGAAAATAGAGAGAAATTCTGTCACGCCAAAAAACGATGGTCGTGGGAGACCAAACAATAAAAAGTTCGATAGAGAATTATTTGTGGAACATATTCAATCATTGAATCCTAGCCTAGCTCATTATCGACGTGAGCATGCTCCACAAAGAAAATACTTACCATCAGAGATCACAATCAAGGACATGTATGAAGATTTTTAAGGAAAGCACCCATCGATAAATTTCTCATACTACGTCTACAGGGAAGTTGTGAGCAGTCTTAATATTTCATTTTCGAAATTAGGCCATGAGGAGTGTTGGCCCTGTGAGATATTCTCACAACATTCAAAAGGTAGTGGTCACCAAAAAGGCAGCCTATGTTTCGATTGTGACGGATGCAGATCTCGGAATGACCATCATAACCGATATGTATCTGCAAGAGAAAACTATCAAAAAGGGTGTGCTGAATTAGGTATATATTTTTCGGAATTGTTCTCTTATTATGCTTCCCCGTTGAGATACCTTCAAAGAAGTAATTTTTGTCCCGAGGCTGATCGCCTTCAATGAGAGTTTCATTCCTGGAGGAAAAAGAGCAATAGTGCCCCCTGTGGTGGTTCTATGGCACGAAGCAATTGCAGGAAGAGGCAAACAAGATATTACAAGTGCTTTTTTATAAATATTTCTTGCAAATTCGTGACACAGAACAGGTAACTTTATGGGCTGACAACTGTTCAGCACAGAATAAGAATTGGTGTATATTTAGTTTCTTTGTGTACTTGGTTAATTCCAACTAAGTCGCTCTGAAGCACTTGCATGTGAAATACTTTGAATCAGTTCATACGTTCATGGCAGCAGACTCCTTCCACCATGCAGTAGAGAAGTCGTTGAAAAACAAGGGAAAAGTATATTTTTTTGGTGATTATGTGGATGCTGTGAAGACGTCTTTCAAAGGAATCAACGTGGCAGTGATGAACGAGCAGTCATTTTATTCCTGGGAAGACTACACATCCCAGTATAAGCTGAATAAAATAACACCGAGGCCTTATCTCAAGTCCATTTTTGAAGTTCATTTTACCAGGGGAGAAAGAACCATTCAGTACCGAGAGTCTTTTGAGGGACCATTCATTACACTGAATTTTTTGAATCGTAAGAGCTTCAAAACTGGAATTAAAATGCCGAATTCGGTAGAGGTTCCTAGAGGAATCACTGTTGAACGAAAGCAGACTATAATTTCAAGACTAGGGTATATTTTTCCTCCCAATAGACTAAAGTTTTGGGAATCTCAACCAACAGTAAACAAAGAGGAGGGAGCGATTATTGAAGATACTGACTGAGACTAACGGTCTATGTGTTGAATTTATATTTTTCGTTTATATTTAGTCTAAATATGTTTCAGTAATAAAGTTTTCTTTTCTTTTCTACTTGTTATTATTATAACTCATTTAATCTGATGACAGAATTCAAAGGCGTATCTGTTATTCGCAATATTATGTTAATCGAAAAGCGCGTATCTATCAAATATCTTATTTGGAATCAAATTTTGGAATTCAAAGGATAAAATAGAATAACTATCACTATTCATACTTAGTCTGTACAATAAAAGTCCTTATTTTTGTAAAACTTCATGACGGCATAAGTGAAAACATAAATATTCAATTTTCCCCGTTCCCTCTTTGGAATTCAAAGGATAAAATAGAATAACTATCACTATTCATACTTAGTCTGTACAATAAAAGTCCTTATTTTTGTAAAACTTCATGACGGCATAAGTGAAAACATAAATATTCAATTTTCCCCGTTCCCTCTTTGAGACGTATCTACGCCCCTTTGAATTAACAGGGTAGTATAATAAATAATCAATATGTGTTTAGAGTATTTACTTTTTGCAAAAACCAGTGGCGTACTGTTTTTTGCTCAACACAGAGATTTGCAGGCACAGGTACAATAATTTAAGTGCTTGAGAAAGCAGTTTGGACAAGCTAATGTAACTTTTTGATAATATAAACTATGATATCACCCTCGTATTTTTAGTAAACATCTTTTTATTCCTGTATAATCCCGGTATTTACTTTACTTATGAGTTCGTGTTAATTATGATGTCAATGATATTTGTGTATACTTTCTTATATTGATGAATATATGTTCTTGTGTACTTTCCTATCATTAAAAATTCCTTCAAGATATCGATTTATTAGAAATACGCATATTTTTAGAAATAATATTATTTAATACTTTGCTGTACAACCTTTAACATAATAATAAATTTTGAAGTGGTTTGTAGCCTATTTCATTTGATTTATAAATATATCCCTGCTCCAAAACTAATCTCAACATCATTATTTTTCCATATTTTAACGTAGTGGATATGACCTTTCTTCTGACATCCTGCAACACTCTATGCATAAATAACTTCTAATCATTCAACATAAATACCTAATAGGTACTTGATAATATATCGAAACATTATTTCAAATCATTATAAATACCGAATAAACTAGCGCTTGTACTTATGTTGTTTTAATTTTTTTTTGCAGGGACCAGAGCAGTCTGCTGAAAAGTAAGTACCTTTAGGGTTTCCTTATTGGTGTAGGTTTAATGGCTTCGGCGAACACAAATGAGAGATGCGAAATTGCCAAACTTTCTGGTTATATAAAGTACAGGTCTATGCAGTCGTTTTATTATGTAAAATAATAGCTATGATAGCGATCTTTTGTACTAGTTAGTCACTACCTCACGCTATGCGTACTCGCTGTGAACGCCATCTATGAAGTAACGGGGCACATAGCCCAAGTATCTAGTCGTTTAGGCAATACACACAGCTACCACAAGAGAACATGAAATGAATAACAACCAGTTCCAAAGAGATCATTATGGTGATCATATTGCCATTCATGACACTGTGCATTTACGTCAGAAGGATGTCGGTATGTATGCCAAGAGTCTATGCCACTGCTCAAAGTACTTTTGAAAACAAATTTATACCAACGACCAAAACAGACTTTTTTCATCGTCGTTGATTTATACATATTAATCTAACTTTGGTATTCACACGTAATTTTAGACGCTGAATCTGAGTTTGAGGTCGAAAAGATCCCTAAACCCATACTTTACACCCCCGGTGCCAAAAACTACCCCTAGAACGAGTGAAAATTCAGCTTCGGATGCGTGAAACTGGAGCATGGAATTACCATCTATTTTTTGATTCATGGTCGAATAAAGTACGTCCTTTAGGCAACTTATAAATAGTTACCTGTGCATTTAGGGCTACACAAAATCGCAGTACTACAATTCTGACAAAAAATATATCCTTTTCTAATGCCTCCGCAACAATTGAAGCATATCATCGGTCCATCTACTTGGGGACCAATCAATACAGGTGTTTCTGATAGGATCATTTCACCAGCTTTAATGTCTCTGGCCGCAACCATGTACCTGCGAAGTAGAAGTTGAAGGTTTCAGACATACTTTACTATTTTTAAGGCTTAGTTCAGATGACGTGGTGCGGGTTCGTTGGGTCGATATTCAGATGGCACGCGTACAATTTTTTTTATAGAGCGGTACTAGGTAATCAATGGTCAGTTTATTGTGTTGATTCAACCAGAATGGATGTGGTTAACATAGAGAAGGATGAAACGACGTAGAAGAGAAGGGGCATACTAGGTTTACCATATTTTAATTAGTAGACTTTCTAAGTTTATTGGTTACACTTTATTCCAGCCGTCAAAGATTTGAAGCGACTCTTTTTAACTAATACGATGGCCGTTTGATAAGTCAGTGACTTTTTGAATTTCCCGCGCAGTAACTTTGAATGCAACACTGCTGCCGTCAACTGCCATCTTTTATATAATAATAATAATAATAATAATAATTAACGTCTTTTATTTGTAATATTCTTACAGGAGGGGCGAGATTTAGATTATATATCTATTCTACCATCTAACCCCCTTAACAATTCGAGATGTAAAAAAAAAAAAAAAAAAAAAAAAAAAAAAAAAAGAATTTATTGAAAATTAATAGGCACCTGTATACAATAACGAATAATCCAAGTAAATACGTAAGGAAAATAAGAATTATATGATTTGATCGCATTGTAAATGTATGAATTAGAGACGTGCTGTGGCGTGGAATTGAAAAAGTCTCTCTATATCTAATATTAATACGATGCATATTCCCTCTACGTATGAATTTGTTTACTAAATATGACGGTGTTTTTGAATAAAGAACCTTATGAGTCAGATTTAGGAGCTGGTACTTATACATTTTATCAATTTTCATCCATTTGAGTTCATTAATGGCATTCGATATATGATCGTATTTTCTGAGATCATTTACAAGCCTGCAACATGTATTCATAATACTTTGAATACGATTTCTTGTTATAATATCTAAATAGGGATAGTAAACCACTAAGCAATACGATATCTTTGAAAATACGAAATATTCACACAATTGCTTTCTCGCAGATTTATGTAATATAGCCTTATTTGCAAATAAAACTCTGAGAATAGCGTAGCACTGCGTAATTAGATAGTTCACGTGTGCAACAAATTTTAAGTCATCATCCATTATAATACCTAGGTTTTTCGAATGATCCACAGGAATTAATTTATTACCTTTTAAATGTATCTCTATGTCCTTTTTTAAGGTATTCTTTTTTGTTCTATTTGCGTATACCAACATATTTGTCTTCAAAGGGTTCAAACGAAGATTATGACTACTACTGAACTTTTCAATTTAGGCAAGATCTTGATTAATTTTATTATTTGCGGTTTCTAAGTCATTACTCCCAAATGAATAGAAAATTTGAGTATCATCTGCAAAAAATGTATGCTGCATGATTTTACCTCTGTTTCTAAATCTGAGATATATAATGAAAATAATAGCGGTCCTAAGACTGATCCCTGTGGTACACCAGAACAAATTTTTTGTTCCGTAGAGTACTGTTGATTTAGACGAACTTTTTGATACCGATTTTCAAGGTAGGTTTGAATAAACGAAAGAGGTTTTTCAGAAAATCCATAGTAACTGCATTTAGATACAAGAAGCGAGTGATTAATGGTGTCAAATGCTTTAGTAAAGTCAAGAAGTATGAGAGCTACTGCTTTTTGGTTATCAAGTGCCATTGTTATATTGTCTGTTAAATCACAGAGTGCCGAAGCTGTATTATGACCTTGTCGAAATCCAGATTGTTTAGATGGAATAATTTTGTTAGAATATAAGTAGGCGCACAGCTGCTCGTAAACAACGCGTTCCAATACTTTAGAGAAAATTGGCAGTAGACTGATCGGTCTCAGTTGACCATAGTTAGTAGGATCAGAACACTTAGGTAGCGGAATAACTATAGCGCGTTTCCACTGATTGGGGAAATATCCCCTCTCTAAACAGCAGTTTATAATATGCGTTAAGTAGACATCAATTTCAGGTATACATAGTAGTATCATATGCAAAGTTATTTCATCTGTACCACTAGAATGATTTATATGACAACTGTCAAAATTTTAACAAGCTATGTCATTTCATTTGAGTTTGACAGCCGTTGAAAGTAGACAGTCTCGTAAATTCTAACAAAAATAGAGAAAAGTGAATTTCGCTAACCATCAGTGCAACCAGGGAAAGGCTTGACAAATACTATGGGGCCTCTGCACCATCTGTTTCAATTGTGAAGAAGTGGTTTACAGAGTTCCGTGGTGGTCGAACCAGCACAAGTGATGCCGAACGTTCAGGTCGCCTAAAAGAGGTCGTCACACCAGAAATCGTGGATATAATCCATGGAATGATTTTGGATGATCGGAGGAATAGAAATACGTGAAGTAGCTGAGGCTGTAGGCATCTCTACTGAGCGGGCACATCACATTTTACATGAATACTTGGACATGAAAAAACTATCCGCGAGATGGGTGCCGCGATTGCTCACAGTCGACCATAAGCGCAACCGTGTGACCATTTCAAGGGAATGTTTGGCGATGTTCAGCCGCAATCCGAACGAAGTTTTGCGCCGTTTTGTAACTGTAGACGTAACATGGATTCATCACAATACATCAGAAACCAAAGAACAATCAAGACAGTCGGTTTCACATGGTGAGCGTGCTCCAAGGAAGACCAAGGTGGGTATGTCGGCCAGCAAGGTTATGGTCACAGTTTTCTGGGTCGCATGCGGTATCATTTATATCGATTACCTTGAGACGGGCAGAACGATGACGGGAGAGTACTATTCAGAGTTGTTAGACAGATTCAACGTTGCTTTGAAGCAAAAACGACCGCATTTGGTAAAAAATTGTTGTTCCATCAAGACAACGCACGGGTACACACGTGTGTAGTCTCGATGGCAAAAATTCATGAACTGGGCTACGAACTGCCATCCAGCCTATTCTCCAGATTTAGCCCCCAGCGACTACTTCCTATTTCCAAACCTGTCAAAATGGCTGGGTGGTAAGAAATTTGGGTCGAATGAAGAGCTCATCATTGAAACAAACGCATATTTTGGGAGCCTTGATAAAAACTACTATTCGGAAGGAATTAGGAAATTGGAAAAACGCTGGACTAAATGTCTCGAGCTAAAAGGAGATTATGTTGAGAAATAAAATGCTTATTTGCCGAAAAACATTTTTTTTTATTTAAAAAGACACTGACTTATCAAACAGAACGTATTTTTTCTTCGATATCATCAGATCTGAAAAAGTCCCTTACCACATTTTATCATCTTGAATGTGGATGCGTATAAAAAATCGCGAGCCTTCTTTTAATTTCATCAATAAAAGATCTTTCGGTTTTCATTTCAGTACCATATGCTAGAAAGCACTTTTTCGAAAGATGCACAAAGTATGTCGAGTAATCGCAACGAAAAACGTGCGTCAACTGAGTAGGCAACGGTATCTCTATACGCGCGTCGGTCAGCATGAACTTTGCGTGCTCTATGGCGCTTCCATGTGAATAGCTTGTAGCGGGTGATTTTTTTTCTAGTATCTTTTTGGCAACACTGTTTTTGATAGATGACGCGTGAATCGTGTCTGGTGTCATTGTCAGACTTGTTCAGTTTGGTCTATAATCTAACCATGAATCGACTTACGAACGAACAACGCTTGCAAATTATTGAATTTTACTATCAAAATTCATGCTCGGTTAAGAGAGTGCATCGAGCACTGCTTCCAATTTATGGGCAATTTGGTCGGCCTACTGAGGGAGCTATTCGGAAGCTTGTGACTGAATTTCGAACCCAGTCTACATTATTGGACATTAAACCACCAACACGCAGACGTAAAGTGAGGACTGAAGAAAATATTGCGGCTGTATCCCCCAGTGTTAGTGATGACCGTGAAATGTCGATTCGCCGCCGTTCGCAGCAATTAGGAATCTGTTACTCCACTACGTGGAAAATTTTGCGACAGGATTTGGGTGTAAAACCTTATAAGATACAGCTGGTGCAAGAATTGAAGCCATACGACCTCCCACAACGTTTCCAATTTGGTGAATGGGCGCTGGCAAAGTTGGAGGAAGATCCACATATTTATCGAAAAATTGTGTTCAGCGACGAAGCTCATTTCTGGTTGAATGGATACGTTAACAAGCAAAATTGCCGCACCTGGAGTGAAGACCAGCCAGAAGCATTGCAAGAGCTACCAATGCATCCCGAAGGAATCACTGTTTGGTGTGGATTATGGGCCGGTGGCATCATCGGGCCGCACTTCACTTCAAAGACGACAATGGCCGGAACGTAACTGTGAATGGCGAGCGCTACCGTGCGATGATAACAAACTTTTTTTGCCCAAAATGGAAGAGCTGGACTTGGCTGACATGTGGTTTCAACAAGACGGTGCCACATGCCACACCGCACACGAAACAATGGACCTATTGATAGGCGAGTTCGGTGAACAGTTTATCTCACGTTTGGGGCCCGTCAATTGGTCGCCTAGATCGTGTGATTTAACGCCGTTGGACTATTTCTTGTGGGGCCATGTTAAGGCTAATGTCTACAGGGATAAACCAGCAACGATTAACGCACTGGCAGCCAATATTGAAGCATTTATTCGTGAGATACCGGCCGATATGTTGGAGAGAGTGTGCCAAAATTGGACCTTGCGCATGGGCCATCTAAAGCGGAGCCGCGGCCAACATTTACATGAAATAATCTTTAGACATTATATTATATCGACCGTTCTATCGACTCAAATAAAGATTTAATCGTTTTTCCAAATTTTTTGTGTTTTTTTTTGAAAATCAAATCCTATACCTCTTAAAAAATCACCCGTTATTAATTCTATGTATTTTCAATGCTAGCGTCAGACGAACGCACGTCATCTGAACTTAGCCTAATTCTTTTTCATATAATATACGATTCGACGTATCATTCTTCCATATTTTATCTTTTCTCAGCGGTATCATGTGAAATTCTGAGGTCACCAAATTCGAAATTACGAACAAACGCGTAATCGAGTATGACATTCATTTTCAAATTTGGTG